CACCCTAAATGCCATCCCCATGCCTCTCTGCAACTGCACGCTCCAGACAGTCATCATGGCTGCTTCCCATCAGTCCCAGCATGGAGTTCTTCCCCCTTCTTGCTTCTTCCCAGAAAGCCCTGCCACCTAAACTTCTGTCGTAAAAGGGCACCCTCTTTTTCTGCGGTGACATCACACCCCCGTTTTTACCCTGGCAACCTCCCTCTGTGCCTGGCAAGGCCTTGTTCCTGGTTGATGACTTCCATTGAGGGGTAAAGGGTAGCCATCACAACCACTGTTTCTTCAATGACCCGCCATCACCAGGCTGGCCTCATTAAGAAGTTGTTGTTGTTGCTGTATAGTCGTGTCCGACTCTTCGTGACCCCATGGACCACAGCATGCCAGGCACTTCTGTCTTCCACTGCCTCCCACAGTTTGGTCAAACTCATGCTGGTAGCTTTGAGAACACTGTCCCACCATCTCGTCCTCTGTCGTCCTCTTCTCCTTGTGCCCTCCATCTTTCCCAACATCAGGGTCTTTACCAGGGAGTCTTCTCCTCTCACGAGGTAGCCAAAATATTGGAGCCTTAGCTTCAGGGTCTGTCCTTCCAGTGAGCACTCAGGGCTGATTTCCTTCAGAATGGATAGGTTTGATGTTCTTGCAGTCCATGGGACTCTCAAGAGTCTCCTCCAGAACCATAATTCAAAAGCATCAATTCTTCAGCGATCAGAAGTTAGGTGATGTTATTTCCCAGTCCTTGAGAAATTCAGGAATTTATGAGTCTGCTCAAATTCTGACCCTTCACTGAATGTAGAGATCTGCCCCACCCCAGCCCCTCATAACAAGGGGACCACCTGACCCTTAAATCAGAAAGAATATTCCATGGTGCAATATGCACTGGAATTTTCTTGCACTTCTTTTGCCAGAACCTTTGCTATACAATGAAATGACCTGAAAGAGATTTCACACACACATACATACACACACCGGCTGCTGCCAGGGGGGAGATATTGGCCTCTGGAATGCCCCCTTAGCTGCATTCAGAGAAAACCCAGGAAAAGTCTTGATTGGTCCTTGTTGCTGTTGCAGAAGAGATGTTTTTGAAAAGGAGCCATTCCTTCTTTACTTAGCCATTTCATTTCTCCTTTAGTGGAAGCAGAATGTGTTCTGGGTTACTTAAACCACAACAGCTATTAGGGAAAAGCTCTTCACAGCTTAAGTAGTCAGACTCGTTGCAGTAGGTAGGTAGAATTCACATGGAACAAAATTGGCGGCGGGGTTGGGGGGGGGGAGTCTTAATTTAAAAAGTATATATGACTCACTGTTTCCACAGGCAGAGTTTAAGGATTGGAGTTCAAGCAAGGAGACTTCCTGACAAACCTTTAAAACAACAACCCTCCTCTTGGATCTCATGCGTGTTTGTTCAACGAAGCTGGTTTGAATTATCTGCCGTTTGGCAGCAGAGATGTTAGAATCGGGCTAGGATGCTTGCCTGCATGGTTTCTGTTACCCCTTTTTTTTTTGCAAAAGTAATAGGATAATTTATTTCATTTAACACATGTCTGCACATTTAACACACTCGGGGACATCCAGTGAAGCTGAACACTGGGAGATTCAGAAGAGACAGAAGAAACTACTTTTTCACATGGTGCAACCATGGAATTTGCTTTCCCAAGAGGCAGTATTGGGTGGGACATATTCCTGGAGAAGAACTATCAATGACCACCTCCACTATCAGACTCTTAATCTTAGTGTCATGGGTTCAAGTCCCATGCTGGGCCAAACAATTTCTGCATTGCAGGGGGTTAGACTAGATGACCCTTGGGTCCCTTCTATGATTCAATGACTAGATGAGCCTCTGGCCTGATCCAGCAGGGCTCTTGTGATGTCCTTATGCATCGTTTTTGTTCTTTCTCTCCGTCCCCCACCTCCCTCAAGAAAAGCAGCTCATGATAAATTGTGTATCAACATAGCTTACCGTTTCAATACAATCTCATTGCTTAGGGGCGATCATGTCAATAGCCCAAGTCATTGGGTGTTCCAGAGGTCAGATAAGGCTTCAACATATCCAGTCATATCAAACCAAAACACCCCCCCCCAAGAGCCGTTTGGAACCCACTGATCATCAGGCTCCGAGGCGGACCTTCCTAATAGGTCCCCCGCTTCTGCAGAGAGGAAAAGGTGCTGACAGCCTAAAATCTCAACAGGAGTGATCTAACCATGGCAAGGGACTGATGCAATGTCTCCCACCTCAAATCACCCTATTCCTGCACAGTCGAGAAACAAGGTCGAGAGTGTGGCCTGGCATGTGCGTTGGGATGGTGACATGTTGGCACAGCTACATGGATGTCATGGCAGCCATGAAGTCTGAGCCGCCCCCAGAGCCAGCTGCCTCGGCATGGACATTGAAGTCTTCCAAACCAGATAGAAACTGTTTCTCCGGTGGCTAGTCCTAGTTTTTATAACCCTGTACCCTTCTTCAGAAGGCAGAAGCTGAAAGAGATCATTTCCGGGGTGCGCACTATCCTGCGCTTCTCTGCAGCTTCTTATGGCACCTGGAAGCATAGATTTGATCCAAGGTGGGAAGAGTGCACCCAATTATTCTCTCCGCAGTCTTTACAACCCTGGACAGCATTGTTTTTCCCCTGACGCGTGCAGCTCCCAAACCACAACACACATCCCCCCCCTCAACTGAGACAGAGAGTCTGGAGATAGAGAGTGGATCTCTATAGACCACAACAACTCCCCTCCCCGACCCTCAAGTCTGGCCTGATGCTGCACTGAGTACCCAGGTGGGCACAGCTGGGTGAGACCAACTCCACCTTGTTCACCCACCCAGGTTTCTGTGATACATGCCAGGTCAGCCTCCTCAGCCATAATCAGGTCATGGGTGAGGGAGATTTATTCTGGGCGCGACTGGCATTCAACTGCAGCAGTCGCAGACCCAAGGCTGGCTGATATAACTGCCTGTGCCTTGGCCCCTTGCCCAGCCTGCCATATCTCCCCCTACCTAGAACCATTGTAATTGAGCCTCCCCCTGCTCTGCTCTCCTCCGCTCCTCCCTCCTGGGCACAAGCCACCAAGTCCCTCACGGCCCAGTTAAAACAGCTGAAAACACTAAACAAAAGAATTTAAAAGGATATAAAAACAATTTAAAAGAAGAAGCCCTCTCTGCTGAGCATCAGTCCTTAAAAACCTGCCAGGCCCCGCCCTGGGCCAGGTGGAGAGACGGCAGGAGCAGGGCCCCTCAGGCTCTCAGCAAGATGAGAGCAAGTCACATCACGGATTCACCTAGGGCAAGGTAAAGGTAAAAGGGACCCCTGACCATTAGGTCCAGTCGTGGATGACTCTGGGGTTGCGGCGCTCATCTCGCTTCATTGGCTGAGGGAGCCGGCATACAGCTTCTGGGTCATGTGGGTGGCCAGCATGACTAAGCTGCTTCTTGGCGAACCAGAGCAGCGCACGGAAACGCCGTTTACCTACCCGCCGGAGCGGTACCTATTTATCTACTTGCACTTTGACGTGCTTCGAACTGCTAGGTTGGCAGGAGCAGGGACCAAGCAACAGGAGCTCACCCCATCGTGGGGATTCGAACCACCACCTTCTGATCAGCAAGTCCCAGGCTCTGTGGTTTAACCACAGTGCCACCTGTGTCCCTTCACCTAGGGCAGTGGCTCCCAATTAGCTAAGTACTGTGGAACTCCTGTTTTCAAAAACCAAGCCATGGAACCCTACTTTTTTTTTAAAAAAAGATGTCTCTATGGTATTTTTGTTAAGTGAATGGTGCCACGGAACCCCTGGGTGGATGTGGAGGGGTCCATGGACCACCAGTTGGGAACTACTGACCTAGCACAATGTACTTGGAAGTAACATTGTGGTGGGGAGGAAACTTATATAGGCCACCTGAGACTAGGTGGTGCCACCTCCATCAATGGCCGCCCCACCAGAGCATGCACTATGTGCCAATGCCAGGCAGGACAGGCACCTGTGACGCCGCCACATCAGCATTAGCAGGGTCAAGCCGAGCAGGTGGCGTCCAACCACCCTCTGAATATATTTGCAAGGCTTCCTGTCAACATCCCTTTCGTTTGCCATCTGTTGCAAAAGGACTGAAGTATCAGACAATAACCTTGGGAATCAACTTTACTGCCACATGAATTCTATTTCTCCAGGAGGATACATATCATCATCATCATCATCTCAATTATTACTCACACTTTACCATAGGTCACAGGGCATGTTACCACATTTAAAATTCGGCATTAAAAATAATTGAAACAAATCACAGTGAATGAATAGGGTAGAGCCTAAAAACATATCTCAAGTCTCCTCCTCTCATATGCTCTTCTGGGATTCCCCAAAATAGATGGGCGAATGTGTGGGGAAAGCCTCATTGCACCAGCTGGATTTATTCCACTAGGTTCCACTAGCACACTCGGTTAGTTGAATCTGGCCCTAGTTTCTCATATGCTGAAGACATGCATCTGTTCCTTGCTTCCTGCTCCCAAGAACTCTAATGGGTTCATAGCACAGGACTTGCCCTTTGCACAACGCCATGCTGGCTCTACTTCAGCAAATCTTGTTCTTCTATATGCTTAACTATTTTATCTTTAACAATACTTTCCACCACTTTCCCTGCTACAGACATTAAGCTAACCAGCCTGTAATTTCCAGGATCCTACCCCAAGTTCACACTACCCAGTGAATCCCTTTTAAAAAAACTCAGCTTACTGATAAAGGATTGTAATATGGCATAGGAACAAAAGACAAACCCTTATTCAGATAGCTCAACAGTCGGTCTTTAAGCACTTAGAAAAGGATGCTGTGATTACTAAAACCCAGCATGGGTTTCTCAAAAACAAGTCATGCCAGATGAATCTCATTTCTTTCTTTCTTTCTTTTTTTATGGAGTTACAAGCTTGGTGGATGAGGGGAATGCTGTGGACATAGTGTATCTTGACTTCAGTAAGGCTTTTGATACTAACAGTAAAATATTTTAGTTATTTAGAGTAGAAGATTACCTGAAAAAGGTGACAAAGAACTGTACCAGGTCCATAAAGTTACTGTGCTGTGAAAATGCAATCTGTAGAGAAGAAAAAGCAAATGAATTATTTGTTGTTGCATTCAGAAACTCATGCTGCAATAAGCTATTCCGTTTCCAGGGCTAACATAATAATGAAATCCTGCTCCATTTAGATAGTGTTAGCACAGCAACCTGTCACTTAAAAGTGGTGCATTGTTGACATATTTGATACCCCACCATTCTACCAGGTACCCAAGGAGGCTTACAACACACGAAACAATAAAAACATGGTGCCATATTAAAAGCACAAATAGAACAGCAGGATAATAAACATGCATTGCTTAGAACTACAGGAACGTAATCAATAAGCTACAACTTCTCTCTCTCATGCTCTTTCATGTCTGAGCACGCATTAATTTATTGGGCTAAAGCTCTGACAACCACAAAACCTCCCTGATGCTCGGAAACAACAGTACAGAAGAAGATCGAGATGGTGTAGGGGTTAGGAAGCCATCCAAGTTAAAACAAGATGGGTTCAGGGTCTAAACTTGGGCCCTCTCAGAAGGGGGATCCTGCAACATAAAAGACCTCCTTGATTGAACCATCCTCAGCAATGACTATCAAGGCAATCTCTTGCAGAGAAGTGAAGAGTAGAACTATGCTCTATGTCCTGCTCTTGTTAATGTTTCCTGGCCGACATCCTCAGATATTGACTCCTCCCTAGCAACTTCCTCAGTTCCAGTCTTCCCACTTTTTCCATTACAGAAGCTCCCTAGAGTAAACACCTCTTAAAGTAGTGCATGGCCCTTTAACTGAGAGCAAATCCCCTGGGAGGCGAGGTCTAAAACTCTTTTCAGCAGCATAGTGAGAGCTGGACCATAAAGAAGGCTGATTGCCAAAGAATTGGTGCTTTTGAATTTTGGTGCTGGATGAGACTCTTGAGAGTCCCATGGACTGCAAGAAGATCAAACCTATCCATTCTGAGGGAAATCAGCCCTGAGTGCTCACTGGAAGGACAGATCCAATACTTTGGCCACCTCATGAGAAGAGAGAGACTCCCTGGAAAAGACCCTGATGTTGGGAAAGATGGAGGGCACAAGGAGAAGGGACGAGATGGTTGGATAGTGTTCTCGAAGCTACCAGCATGAGTTTGACCAAACTGCGGGAGGCAGTGGAAGACAGGAGTGCCTGGCGTGCTCTGGTCCATGGGGTCACAAAGAGTCAGACACAATAAACGACTAAACAACAACAATAAACCATCAGTAGACTGCCAGGCAGTGCTGCTGCAGAAACACGCTGAGATACCTGCTCTCAGGCTCCAGCCCTCCTCCTTAGCTTTCACCTTGCCTGGAGCAGTCACAGTGTGCTGTCCCAGGTCCTGATGCTGCCAATACACTGAGATCCTCACCACCACCTGCTAATATTTGCAAACAATCTACGACCAGGACTGCAGACATTCCCACCCATTGCTTTCCTCCCTTGCCCCTGGGCAGCGACTCCTCTGAAGACTTCAGGCACAAACAGGCTTGCACAGACCTCTGTCAATTTTACGCAAAGCAGCTGCTGCGTTTCCAAGATTACATGGCGACAGCCACCCCAGCCCAGGTTTGGCACCAATACGAAAGCCGGCGAGCCAGACCTGGTCTTTTAAGCAGGATGTCACACTGTGTCATTCATTCCAAGTTTCCAGGGACAGGGCCAAGAGACAGCCTCCTCCTGATTCTTAGATCCTCATATGAAGATTAAAATATGGCAGAAAAAACTGGAGAGAATTTAAGGGAAGCATTCTTCTTATTTATTGTTTTGAAATATGAGATTACTTTTTTTTTACAATTCAGGTCACAAAGGCTTTTGCATATTAAAGCATGTTTGTAACACTTTTAATGCAAATGATGAACCATTTTCTTGTACTTTATCATTGAGCACATAGCTGCCTCTGAAGACAGTTCAGAAACGTCAGCTAGTGCAGAATTCAGCGGCCAGGTTGCTCACTGGAGCAAGAGGGTTTGAGCATCTTACACCGATCCTGGCCCCATTGCACTGGCTACCAATTAGTTTACAGGCCCAATTCAAAGTGCTGGTTTTGACATATAAAGCCTTAAAAGGCTCAGGACCGCAATACCTCAAGGACACCTCTTTCCATATGAATCTACCATATGAGATCATCTTCCAAGGCCATGTGCCTCCTCCTTGAGAGGTCCGGAGGGTGGCAAAAAGAAGAACAGGGCCTTTTTCTGCAGTGGCTTTTCTGGAATGTTCCTCCCAGGGAAGTTCGCCTGGCGCCTTCATTATAAACTTTAGGCGCCAGGCAAAAATGTTCCGTTTTAACCATGCCTTTGGCTGATTTGATTGACAATCCTATGCCCTTTTAAAACGTGGGTGGTTTTTTTTCGGGGGAGGGGTTATTTGATTGTTGTTTTTATTTGATTATGTATTTTGTGTGTTTATATTTTGATTTTATTCTTTGAACTGCCCTGAGACCTCCAGGTATAGGGCAGTATATTGATGATGATGATGATGATGAATGATGATTGATGATGATATAAACATTATCTACTTGTCCTCCTTTTCTATCTCTCAGAGTGTCCGTAATTTTTACCATACACACCCAATCACAACCCTGAATAGCTGCTATGGATGGCAGAATCCCTCCATTTATAAAACTACTGCCATCGTAGCAGTTGTAAAAGACAATAATATTCCGGAAAGATAGCTGTCTTTTTTAAACAAACAAACAGAACAATGGATATAGTATAGATGCACAATCCAACACTCGCAAGTCAACAATATTTCCAATGTTCTTCTTCTCTTTTCTCTCTCTCTCTCAGGACATCACCGTAAATGTGGAACTGAACTGCTTTAATGTCACCACATCTCCAACAGATGTTATTCGCTGTAGTACAAATTCTGCCAGCCTAGACAGCATGTATTCCTGCTTCAGATCAAATGGGCATGTTCTGACAGATATCATTTTCAAGAACTCAATTTGCCTGAACTTGGGGTCCCGCAAGCAGCTTGAAACAATGGAATCAAGTGCGAGTTAATATACTACCAAGTAGAACTGAGAAGACCGACACACTTAGCAGTAAAAGAGGAACTGCACTCGTTCCTTCTGCAACAGTCTTGTTTTGAGTGGACCAGAAGTTGATTTACAGTTAGAGAAAGCAGCAACCTAACCCACAACATCATGGAAGCTAATTTTGCAAGTTATTAGGCCAGTAAGCACTGTGTATTTCATTTCAACAAATTAGGGACAAATCAGTTATTTTGGATCCAGCGGTGCAAAAAGGAAAAGAAAAGGGGAAAAAGCTTCCAGATTTTCTGGTTCCTATTCCAGAAAAAAATGGAATGCCAAAACAAATTAAAATACCACACAAAAGCAACACGAGACCCACAAGGTTGAAAAGTACCCAGACTTTCCAGACAGATAAAACAAACAGAAAATACACCATGCATGCTTTGTATGAAATCCATCTGTTTTCTTTCCTGCCAACTGTATTTCCTGAGTTCTAATGTTCAGAAGAATGAAGTCAAACAAACCTCAGAGCTGTGTTTGAATACAAAGCTGCTGCTCAACTTTCTATTGAAAAACAAATTGCCTAGGTATTTCCCAAGCCATGCCAAAAGTTGTCAAGATCATTCATTTTGGTTTTTGACAGTGCATTGTAAAAGGGAAAATTTTAATACTGCCCTTCACCTCAGGGCGGTTCAGCAGCAGCTGGAGACTTAGATTTCCACTTATATTATTTTTTTAAAGAAATCAGGTCTTCTTGGTTGAATTTTTGAGGCTGAGAAAAGGCAAGGGTGAACCATTAACCTGTAAGAAGAAACAAATCAGGAACCATTCTGCCTGCTGAATCTCTCTTCCCAAATCAATAAATGTAAATTCTTTGATACTTTGTGTGGTGGGTGTTAGCCAAAAAAGGTTCCAGTTATTACACTTTTATTAAATTATGGGGGATTGAATTGCTCCACAAAAGTCCTCCAAACAATGATTGCACTGGGAAAACTTTGAAGAACTTTGACTAAGTCCAGCAACAATCCTTACTGTATCTTTTGAGAGCCTTGTAGTGTTATATTTTCTTGATTCTGGACAAGAGGATAGATCACAATTCCTCAGAGCCCAGGGCCCAAGAATGACCTCCATAACAGCTATTGGCTTTCACAATTAGATTCTAAGTGTGAATGCACCATAGATGAGGGTCTGAACAGGAGTTGAAGGTTAGAACTAGGGGATGATGCACTCCGGGACAAAATGATAGTTTCCACATGAGAAAAATCTATCATGTGCAAGACTACCCAAATGCTAGGATTCTACAGGAGGAGAACAGGATACGGAAAACAGGGCATAGTTCAGCTTCTTGAGAAGATCAGCTTCCTTTAAAGAAAAAAGCAAACCAACAAGTTTTTATTATTTATTGAATTTAATAGAATTTATATACTGCCCCTATACCTGGGGGTCTCAGGGTGGTTCACAGAATAAAATCAAGGGTATAAAACCACAAATTACATAATAAAAACAAAAAACACCCAATAGCTCCCCCCCAAAAAAAACCACATTTTAGAAGGGCATAGGTTGTAAAATCAGATCAACCAAAGGGCTGGTTAAAAAGGAACATTTTTGCCTGGTGCCTAAAGGTGTATAATGAAGGCACCAGGCGAACTTCCCTGGGGAGAGCATTCCACAGACAGGAGCCACTGCAGAGAAGGCCCCGTTCTCGTGTTGCCACCTCTGCACCTCTCGAGGAGGAGGCACACGAAGGAGGGCCTCAGAGATGGTCTCAGGGTCCGGTAGGTTCATATGGGGAGAGGCGGTCCTTGAGGTATTGCGGTCCTGAGCCATTTAAGGCTTTGTAGGTCAAAACCAGCACTTTGAACTGGGCCCGGAAACTAAACGGTAGCCAGTGCAGTCAGACCAGGATCAGTGTAATAGGCTCAAACCATCTTGCTCTGGTGAGCAACCTGGCCGCTGAATTCTGCACCATGTGAAGTTTCCAATGCCACTCTAGGCATTATAAAAACAAGACATCAAACATCAAAAGATGTGTATCTTATGCGGA